TGTGAAAGGGTCATTCGACCCTCAGAGGGGTCTCAACCCACAGGTTGAGAACCGCTGACCTAGAGGAAGAAGCAAAATGCCTTGAGTAGGGCAAAACCAGGCAAGTGTTAGCTGGCCATGTGTGTTCTCAACACACAGGCTCAGGGAGGTGTCTCTGAAGGCCTCATGGAGCGAACATGTAGAACATGGCCTTAGAATACTCTGCCTTGCTTCCTGAGCTGCCCTTTGGAACTTTCTGGCGTTCCAAATCCAGAAAGGAGAATATGTTGAGCCTATCTCAAGCTGAAACCACTGAAGAAAAAAACCCAAGCCTTGAGTTGAAACACTGAAGGATTCGGTGAGGAAAATATTGAATGCAGGAAGCATCCAAAGAAGATAGAAAGAATATACAGGGTCATTGGACCAAAAAGAATTGGTTGACATTCAACTATTTTAAAGGTATTTCCATGAATGACTGGCTTATATTGTGCTTGGTAAGGTCGCAGGGCAGCAAGACAGAGGAAGGCCCTTGGTGAGGCCGATGGATACAGTGGCTGTAACAATGGCCTCAAACATTTGTGAGGATGATATGGAACTGGGGCAGTGTTTCCTGCTATTGTCTACAGGGTTTCAATGAGTCGGGAGGGACTCGATGGCACTCAGCAACAATGATGTCCAATTACGTGCAGTTTTTACTTCAAGATCCTTAAATAGTGACTTTAACATTTGAAAATCAGGTATGATCCTTGCAGGGTATGGAACGTATGTCGAATGACTTTTAATTTATGTATTGCCTTCCTTTTACATGAATGGGAAAAAGATTTTCAATCCAAATGGCCCTAAAACTAGACAGATGTACTTGAACTTGCTGCAGGGAGCCCTGGTGCCCCCCGTCGTGACCTATGAGTTGGACTGCTAACCAGGTCAGCAGTTCGAGTCCACCCGGAGCTCCTCATCAGAAAGACTGAGGCTTTGTGCTCTCAGAAACCCCTGGGGTTGGTTATATGCCGTCCTGTAGTGTTGCTGTGAGTCAGAACAGATTCAGTGTTGTAGTTTTTCTGAAACCATGGTATCTGGCGCTACTATAGAGATCATTCCTTAGGTCAGTCACATCAAGCAGTGTTGTACAGTTGCTGCCACAATCAGTTCCGAAACGTTCTCTTCCTTCTTGAACACCTTGACATCAGCTCCCTTTTACACCCCCACCCCCACCTCATTCGTTTTGTTCTGTTTGAGTAAGATTTGCAGCTCCGGAAACCCACAGGTACACTTCTCCTCTGTCCTGCACTCTGTCGCAGCGAGTCAGAATTGACTTGATGGCGATGAGGCTTGGGGGCTTTGTTTTAGCTTTGTCGTGTCGGATTGAGGTACAGTCTTTCAGACTTAACTGAAGACCGGTTGGTTGGTGCACAATTTCATTTGGTGGCCCAATCATGTGGGGGTGTTCCTGGAACCTGTGTCCTTACATCTTTCCCCAGCAGAAACAGCCCTCATTTAAAGGGTATTTTAAATCGTTTGATAGTTTACACTAAGAGCATTACTGGATTACTAGCCCCCCCTCCAAAACCATTTGTTAGGAGCTTATCCAGAGACCATCCCATTCCATAGTGCAATCACATCAAGCAGTGTCGTACAATTGCGCCCACAATCAGTTTCAAAACATTTTCTTCTTTCTTGAACTCCTTGATATCACCTTCCCCTTACCTCCCTCCCCCCACCATACCCTTAACAACTTTGTAAGGGCTCATACTATACCTTAAGTAAACTAGACATGTAGATTTCTGTCATCCTTAATTACCTGTATTTTCTGTTTAATGAAAATCCCTTCCCTTGTAGTGTTATATAACAGGCACGACAAACGCTGTTATGTAACTACTTTTATACTAAGTTTAAAAAATAAGATAAACCCATCCACATTTTAGGTTCACCCAAGTGTCTACATGTCTGTCGTTCATCTGGTCTTTTTATTTTCCAGTAGTCTCTTTTGTTCCTGCAACTGTAACCTATATAGCATCCAGCTGATCCAGTAGTATTATGAAACTTTCTAATATTGTGAAAATGTCAGAGGAGCTGGTCTGGAAGTAGAATTTTGATGGTCCCGATGATCAGCATCAGTTTGAAGGTATTCGGAGCAGCCTCTCAAGGAGAAAGTTATGTATGTGTGGTGTGCCATTGAGTGGATGCTGACTCACAGTGACCCTTCCAGCGGAGGAGAACTGCCGCCGAGGGGGTCCCAGGCTGTAATCATTCTCGGGGGTAAAAATGGGGTGGTTCCACATTCAGAGTTGCTAACTGAGAGAGCCTTCGTTTTGTTTATCACATTCCAAGGCCATTAAAAATCTGCCGCTCACCTCCTGTAAAAACCACTTCCGTTTGGAAAGGCAACGACATAAAAACCCACTGTTGAATGAAGCCTGGTGTCTGAAATGTTTGGCATGGGACCTGGACAAAGTAATACAACCAAAGTGGTCCGCTTCTTCTGAAGTGCCCGTGGCTGAGACTCCACCTTTGCCTTTTCTCTTTTGACAGTGGAGTTGGCTTTGGCTTTTTTGCCCACTTCCCTGCTTTCTAGGTAGAGAATATTATGTGTGGGTTGTGCATTTGTGTACCTGAGTTTGTGTGTATGTTTGTTTGTGTGTGTGTGGGGGGGGTGTTTGTATGTACATGTGTGTTCAGTGAGTTACATTGGCATACAATCGGGGAAGGAAATATATATCTCTTTGGTAAACATCCAAAGATACAATGATTCTCCGGAATCAAGGTGACGATCGGCCTTCAGCCTGGGGTCCTTCCCCATTAGGTGCCATCTGCTTACCGCTGATTCAACACGGCAACACCGTCTTCTGAGCAGCCTGTGCTGTTTGAATTCCGGCCTTCGCCTTATAACCAGTAAGGAGCTTCTCCTGCATAATGTGGGCAGAGGAAAATGGAAGCTCTCTCAGTACCCAGCTCTGTCCTACTGCAGACAGGTGCTCACCTAGCATCGCTTGGCCGGGCCTATGTGATATTTCACGTCCTTTTCTGATGGACAACCCATAGAGTGCGCTGTGGGTTTTTTCCTCCTGCTTGTGAAAGTGGACTTGTTCCACTAATTATTGTGCATGGATTGGTTTTCTCGTCCTTTCCTGTTTACCCTCAGTACCTTTTGGATATATTCTCAGCTGTGCGCGCGCGTGTGTGTGTGTGCGCGCGTGTATGTAATTTTAAGCTTCTATGTATTCCTGGGTTAGTTTGAACTCTGCATATGTTCTTGTGCATCCTACCTCTCCTCAGCCACTGCCTCCTCTGTTGGCCCCTCGCCCTGCTACATTTCTTTGCACACCACCCTCTGTGTGTTGCTAAAGCGCTAGGAAGCCAGGATCCTCTGAAGAAAGCCTCACCCGCTCAGACTCTGCCGCTGCTCCTCCACCAGAACACAGCAGATTGCTCTTGATTTCGGAATGTCACCAACAAACAGATGATAGTGGCTTAAGATGGATAATGACATATTTGAAACACAGATGGGCCTGTAAATCATTTTTCTTTTTCTTAGGAATGTCTTTCTCCGTGAAAAAAGAAAATTAATGTAATTAGTATCACTTGGTGCCAACACCATCACCCCACACCCCCCAAAAAGAAAAGAAATCTCTGTAGCCCTATTTTTCAATCTCCACATTCATCTGCTTGTCTGACGCCGATGCCGTCGGGGTGAGAGCCAGTCCTTGGCCTGGGCAGTGAAGGCCCACCGGAATGCCCCATAGCAAGGCGGCTATGCCAGAAGGCTGCTCTCCCTGGGGCCCTCGGGGGCTCTGGGTCTAGGAGAGGCTGCCTGAGAACTCTGTCTGTAGGAGGATTTGAAATACCAGCTGAGAAGTACATGAAATTCATAAGAAGGGTTTTTATTTGAGGAGCTATTTAAGCTCATTTTGAAGCTCCCAGGAGAAAAGAAATCAGGTCAAGCAGAAAAGTTCTGGGGGGGGTTGTTTGTTTGTTTTTTAGTAGTCTGAATGGAATGAGAGTACGCTTTTTTATTTTCCCATAACAAGCCCCCTTCTGCTTTATCTCCAGCATCAGGTACTGGCCAAGAGGATGATGGGGGCCATTCTGTGTACACCCCAGACCACTACTCAACCCTTGGCAGGCTTGACAGCCTTCGGTGTGCAGGGCCGCGCTCGGAGACCAGGGACTCCAGCTGTCAGACGGAGGAAGTGAGAGTCGTGCCCCCGTCCATGAGAAGGATCCGGGCTCAAAGGGGGAATGGCATCGCTGCCCAGATGAGCCACCTGTCGGGCTCCTCGGGGAACATGTCTGTGCTGAGCGACTCGGCCGGCGTCGTGTTCCCGTCTCGCCTCCACAGTGATGCGGGCTTCCACAGTCTCCCACGCCCCGGCGCCAGGGCGAGCCTGCAGCTCCTGGGCCCCACAGAGGACCCGGACGGCACATTCTCCCACCGGAGGAATCACCTGCAGAGGGAAGACACCTTAGGCCACACGGGGAGTGTCTCCAGGACTGGGATGCTTCTGAGGCCCAAATCTCAGGAGCTGAGGCACTTTGGGGGTGAAAACGGGAATGGCCCGGCCTGTGTGGTTTCTCCTCATGCGACCTACTCCACCAGCATCATCCCCAATGCCACACTCTCGTCCTCGTCGGAGGTGATTGCCATTCACACTGCTCAGAGTTCAGGGCCACCGGACGGGAGTATCATCAACTCACCCTCCTGTGCAAAAGTTAGACCCCGGGACCCCCGCCTCTCCAGGCATCCTGCGAAAGAAGGGCATCCGTCTCCGAGTGCCCACTGGGACAAGAGTCGCTCCGCCAGCCTTTCGAAGGCCACCATAGATCCCAGCTCCCCTGACGCCACCGTGCTGTTGGCCCTGCGTGACTCAATGGTTGCGCTAAATACCCCAGCAAAGGGGGAGAACGGGTCCCAAGCTGGGGCATATCACTGTAGAAGCCTCCCAAGACATCCCCCGGATGCGGATGGCAGGAGCGAGGCTAGTTATTCTTGTGGCAGAGGGCACGATGGCTCTGAGTCCTGGGATTATCCCAGGGTGGGTAGTGGGCGGGCGTCCCCGCAGAGGGCACAGAGTGTAATGCCTGGCTACTCTACCCCAGCCAGTCACCTGAGCAGCTGTAGCTTAGATCAGGCATCGCACCACGAGCATGCCCAGCCCCTGTGCTCGGTGGACCACAACGGCTACTATACACCTGCGCCCACAGGGTCTGGACACGGAGCGGGGAACCTGTGCGCCCGCAGCGATGGCTTTGGCAACCCCAGACACAGCGTGATCAATGTGTTTGACAGGAGAGCTCAGCAAAATCAAAGGGACCGGCCCGATGACCCGGATAAATCCCTTTCTCGAAGCATCTCCTTGAAGAAAGCCAAGAAGCCTCCGCTGCCACCCTCACGCACAGACTCCCTCCGCAGGCTCCCCAAGAAGGGTGCCCAGGCGAACGGGCAGGTGCTGAACGAGAGCCTGATCGCCACGCTCCAGCACTCGCTGCAGTTGAACCTGCCCTGCAAGGACGGCAGCTCGCCCTCCCAGAGCCCCTGCAGCGACTTCGAAGAGCCGTGGCTGCCTCGCTCCCGCAGCCAGAGCAGCGTCAGTGCCAGCAGCAGCAGGGCCTCCACCACCACCCCCAACGTCTACTCCCTGTGCGGGGTCACGCCCTCACAGAGCGACACAAGCAGCCTCAAGTCAGAGTACACCGACCCCTGGGGCTACTACATCGACTACACAGGCGTGCCGGAGGAGCTGGGCATGCCGGCAGGGGCAGCTGCCACCAGCAGTGGGGCGGCCGCAGGAAACGGGCTGGCTCGCCACGTCCAGGAAGGGCCCCGGGCCGGGCTGCCTCAAGAGCCCGGTAATGGCACCAGACCTAAGCTGGCCTCCCCGGAGAAGTCCCACCGAGTCACTTCTCCGTCCAGCGGGTACTCCAGCCAGTCGAACACGCCCACTGCCCTCACCCCCGTGCCTGTGTTTCTGAAATCCCTGTCACCAGCAAACGGGAAGGGAAAGGCCAAGCCCAAGGTGCCCGAGAGGAAATCCTCTCTGGTGTCTTCAGTATCCGTTTCCTCGTCTTCCACTTCTCTTTCTTCTAATACTTCCACGGAAGGAAGTGGGACGGTGAAGAAGCTGGATGCCTCTGTGGCCCCTACCCAGACCCCTCCTCCCCTGCTGGCTCCTTGTCTGCCTCCTCCGCCGCCCTTAGCAGATTCCTCGGGTGGCTCTCCGCTGCCTCATTCTCCCTTCTTTCCCCCTCCGCCGCCAGACCTTCTCCCTCCATTCAGTTTCCCAGCAGAGGGATGCTTTCCTTCTCCTCCTCCTCCACCCCCTCCTACTCCTCCTCCTCCTCCTCCTCCATCACTCAGCCCCCTTCTTCCAGAACCGCCTTCCTTCCCGTCCCCTCCACCTTTCTTACTTTCTGCCACCCCACCACCTGCCCCGCCCCTCGACCCCAAACTGCTGAAAGATACCAGGCCATCTTTCCAGCAGCCTAGCCTGCCAGCCCCACCCGGGGACACCTCCAAGCCGCCTTGTAACAGGGAGGAGAGCAGCAGACCCCCGATGCCCCTCATAACCACCGAAGCATTGCAGATGGTCCAGTTGAGGCCCGTGAAAAAGACCTCAGGAACCGAGGGAGCACCATTATCCGACAGATTCTCTCAGGAAAAACCAGCCCCGGTGGTGCCACCGTATCATTTAAAGCCATCTGCTTTCCTGAAGTCCCGAAATAGCATAAATGAAATGGAGAGTAAAAGCCAGGATGCCTCCACAAAAGGCAGCCTTCCAGCTCCTGCCAAGAGCGCGAGTCAGGGTCACCATGACAGTGCAGCTGAGCGTGGCAGCCTTCAGAGCCACAGAGATGGGGCGCCGCCGGCCCAGGCCTCCGGAGCCTGGTGCCCAGCGACGGCCAGCGGGCAGAGCTCAGAGGCGCAGTCGGGCCCCGGGACCTCCCTGGACCAGGAGCTGCCTGGCTCGCCAATGGAGCCACCTGGCTCCTCACCCAGCAGGAAGCCGCCTCCAATCTCCAAGAAGCCCAAACTGTTCCTCGTGGTACCACCTCAGCCAGATTTCACAGTGGAGCAGTCGGAGAACGTGAGCGCAGCCTTCAGGGACGCGCCCAGCCCTGCACCGAGAGAGGCAGGCGCTGTGCACGGCAAGCAGGCGAGAGAGAGTTCCGCAGCCCGAGCCGGGGCTGATGAGCTGAACTCTGGCAGCTCGAGGCTTGAGGGAGGAGCTGCAGGAGCCACATCCCTGGGCAGAGGGGAAGCCGATGCCCCCATGGTACAGCCCGATGCCTCGCCAGTCCCCCTGCAGGAAGCGCCGGGCACCTCCGAGGAAGGCAGCCGTACCCAGAGCAGTCCAGCCGCTGTGGGTGGTGGGGAGCAGCGCCTGTGTCAGGAGAATGGACAGGGTAAGTCCAGGTTTGCTTTCTTGATCCTTCCCGGCCGGGCACAGCTGGAGCAGCTTGGGCTGGTGACTGCCCCCACACACAGCCCGAGTGGGTCTGGTCCCATTCCAGTTTCAGCCAACAGCCTGTGGGCGCTCTGTGTTGCTGCACGGATGAGGTTGCCAGCTCTGCATTTTTTTAATTAAAAAGGAAGGACTTAGAGCCGTGGTTCTCAACCTTTCTAATGCCTCCACCCATTAATACAGTTCCTCGTGTGGTGGTGACCCCCATATGTGGGCGTATCTGCATGTGGACGGACTCACCTGGAGGTAGAGAAGCGGTGTCTCTGTTCCGAAGACCATCGGAAATAGGGTCTTAGGCGACCTCTGTGAAAGGGTCGTTCGACCTCCAGGTTGAGAACCTTTGACTTCGAGAATGGTACAAAATGGGGGTAAGGGGGGGTACGGAGAATGAGGGGGCCTGATTTGCAGCCTGCTGGGTGGTAAGCACCAATCTGTAACTTCCCATGGGAAGAGCAGCACAGCAATGTCGGCAAAGTTTAAAAGCGTTCCAGCAGGAGTTGGTACTTTAACGGGAGACAGTGGGTTTGGCTATCATGATAGGGTGTCACACACACACCACACACCCCTCTCCCTCCCCACAGACCCTCCTAGGTTTTCTCCTGGTGGGAATGGCCGGGAAGCATTGGGGAATTTGGCTGCCACTCAAGTGCCTTGTGCGTCTGGTCTGTTTTCCTGTTTGCTTCCCTGTACAGCTGGGATGCTGGAGACAGACACAGCAGCTTCTTCCTCAGAGGCCTGGGACTTCCCCAGGGAAGAGGGCAGTGAAGAGGCGATGACCCCTAGCAGACCCAGGACCACAGAAGACCTCTTTGCAGCTATTCACAGGTACCTCAAGCTCCTCTCCTCAATCGGGGGGTCTTTGCGTTTTGGCCCTCCTCAAGGTCTCACCTTCTCCCATTTCTGATTCATTCACTTTACTGATGGGTCTTCTGACTGCCCCCACGCACCCCGCTACCCCAAGAGCTTCTAGGTTTTTATTCCTCCTGTCTCCAGCTTCTGTTTCACCCTGCTCCACTGGTTCTTATGATGACGTTCAGGGGCAGAGGCTCATGTGAGATGCCTGCTGGTAGGCACTGCTCCTGCTGGCAAGAAGCAGTGTGTCTGCCATGTGATAAAGTATTTATACAAGTTGGACGAGAGCCGTCCACAGTGCAGTCCAGGGTGCAGTTTGCTGGGTTCTGTGGATTTAGGATGCACAGATTAGCATTCCTTGCTTCCCTTGGGGAGGGAGGAGGTTGTTTCCATATTCTATCATTATGTAAGAAAAATCTGACATTTATAGTGCAGTTTATTTGGCTGCCTCGGGGTTAAATAAAAGAGAGTATCTTTTTTTAAAATAGAAGAAATTAAATTTGCTCATGATTATCCCTGAAGAGCCCTGGTGGGTTGGGCAGTAAGCACTGACTGCCTTGTTCATCCAAGGGTCAGGGGATTGACCCCAAGGAGCAAGATGAGGCAGTCTGCTTCTTTCATGGTGGGCAGCACTATGGAGTGATTCTCCTCCATCCTTTAGGGTCCCGGGGCATCGGATCCTGCTGCACAGCAACGGGTTTGGATACTTGTGTTTGTTTATATACCATGAGTGCCATCTACTGGCTTAAGAAATGATTGCATTAAAAATATATATTTTTGGACATAAGGTCAAGTTCTCAAAATAACCACCCAATCGGTTACCCTTTGTATCCGTTGTCACCTGTAAGAGTGGAACTCGCTTTGCCCTAGGTTTCCATGTGTTGCACCATTTGGGGTTGTAAGCAGATGAACATGCTTCAACAGTGTCATCGTAAGAATTGTTAAGATCCTTCTGGTTAAAGTACTGTTGAACCGTAACGTTGAACAGTAACGTTGAACAGAACCGTAAAGTACTGTTGAACCTCTGGCTTCCTTCTAGCTTTCAGACTGCCGCGTTTTCTGACAACTGTTAGGAATGCTTTTATACTACCAGTCCCTGCACACTCTCCTGGAATAGGGGCAGCCTATAGGAGCCCTTCATTCTCTTTGTCGATAACCTTGTGGCAGCACTGTCTTCTCAAGTCTTGGCAGCTAAGGGAGAAGCCCACTGAACAAGATGGAAGCATCGTGCTCTCTTGTAACACATAAACATGGCATTTGGGCCCCGGGAAGCTGAGAAATCAATCCATTTGTCAAGATTGATGTTCAGTACATCTCAGGTTTGGTATTAGAATGATATCCCAGGAAAACCCACGTGACCCTTTAACATCTGCTGAGTCAGATTTCCTTGATCTCATTCAAAATTAAAAAGGTAGCAGCTAAGTTAGAAATCACGTTATTTCTCAAAAGCAGGGAAGTAAAACATGCTGCATCCTTTGAAAACCAACGTTAATGGCTTTTCTAGAAGTTTTATAGGGAAGTGATTCCCAGCATTAACCCTGCTAGCTACACAGTGAGTACTCACTGAATTCAGTGAAACCAACAGGAATTTAACTGTTAGGAAATTCCTCCAAGATTATCACTCTTTCATTTAATATGGGATGCATTGGGCTGCTCAATCTGAACACAGATTTATTTATAATTGTAATCCACAGAGGATATCTGGGTTTCCCGGTTGTATTTTATGAAGTATATTTGTCAACTAAGTGTTTGGAATCAGTTAGGAAACCCAACTGTTATGGGACCTAATTGCCACATCTTTTTCCTAAAAATATGCCAAAGGTCTCTTCTATATATTTTTTTTGCTTGCCTTATTAAGAAACTGGAAATGTCTTGGTTTTTCCTACTCGAGAGTAGATCGACTGCAGAAATTGGCCTGGGGGGTGGGGGGGTGAGGGGGGCACGGGGAGGCCATAGGCTTAGGGTGTGGATGGCCAAGAGACAGCTGTGACAGGTGGCACTTTCTGCCTTTGAATTGCTAAGGTGTTGCTGGCTGCCATGGCGCATGGTCACCCACTGCACAATGGAATGAAGCCCCGCCCCATCCTGTGCCATTCCCACAACTAGTTGTGGATTGGACCATCCTTATCCATAGAGTTTTCATTGGATGGTTTGTTTAGCCAAGGTATTCATAATTTTTAAAAACATGGTGAGACTTTGCCTCGTACTTTGGACTTGTCCGGAGAGACCAGTCCTTGGAGATGGACGTCCTGCTTGGTAAAGCAGAGGGCAGTGAAGAAGAGGAAGGCCCTCAACAAGATGGATTGACACAGGGGCTGCAACGGTGGGCTCAAGCCTATGAACAGTGGTGAGGCTGTCGCGGGAGATGTGGCCTTCTATTGTAATGGGTGGCTCTGAGTCATAACCAACTCGACAGCACGTAACAACAATGCCAATCCGTCTTAAGTGTATAATACCTTCCTGCTTTGTTTTCATGACCTTCAGCACATAAGCGCATAGTTTTAAGTAAAGAATAGCTATCTAGATCGAAACACAGCTTTGAAATTGTATCATGCAAATTAGTTCACTTCAGATTTACAGCCAGATGGAAAATGTAGAACACCAGTTGAGGTGCGAAGTTTTTATATTTATTGGAATAGTGTTCAAGTCAGTGTTAACTGTTTAAGCACTTTTTATCTTTTTTGGTAATCTCCATGCACAAAATCTGGTGTCCTTAGATTTCATGCTCATTTTCAAAGGCCGCGCGCGCCCTGGAGAAATAACAACACCTTTATGAAATTCTGCCCTCTTTTGTAATCATCCGAAATCTTCAACTAAACTTTGCCAACTGTAATCGAATGTAACTGTGGCTTGTCTTTTGGCTGTCAGACCATCCACACCGTTTAGAAACCACATATAAAATTATACCAGTAAAGAGTGTTGGAACGAAGATGAGCTGAGCTCTGAGGGGAAAGCAGTCAAATGAATGAACGTTCTAGTTCTGGTCTGAACAAGCTAGGGCACCCTGTGCTAAGGGTCGCCATAATCTGCCCTGACACCCCAAGTGGTTGGACTAGATTATTCTGAAAGCCCCTTCCAGCTCTATAGTTCTGAGATTTTATCATTCCATGGTTTGTCAGTTGGTCATTGACTTATCCCAGCTTGCTGCACTTGTCGCATACAAAGCCGAACCATTTGCCGAACCAAAATGATGCCGCCACTACTTCAGTCTGACCGCCGTCGGCCTCAACATCAGCCCTTCCCATGTCCTTTCCTCAGCCTTGGGGGCTCTCTTTTTCGGGAAGCATGAAGGTTACCCTCGGAGCAGGGAGCCTGAGTCAGCAAGCATGCCCCTCTCCATGCCTCAGCCTTGCTGTACAGGCTGTGGTATCAACCCAGCGCCAATGCTTGGGCTCCTGACAAGGAGAAAGAATCCGATTCCCCTTCATGACATTCAAAAGTTTACCAAGCACGGAGGCAATGCCTGTCACCTTCCCACTCTGGATTGCACTCTTATTTTGATAAGCTGTTTGCTGTATGCTGATTTCCCTATGCCAGAAAGCAAATGCATGGCAAGAAACTACTGGTAGTGATTGAATCCAGGTTTCTGTGACTTGAGGGGGCCTCTCCTAAGTACATGTGATATGCTGAGAATCCAGTGGCGGTGGAGAGGAAAGAATATGTCAAGGACATAAAAGGTTGTCGTCATGGGGTCATTGGTGAACTGTTCTAATTGTGCATGTGTTTTACATTTCCCATTGAACAAGTCCATCTTGAAGGGGTACATCGAAAACAAACAGGCCCACTGTTGCCCAGTCAGTTCTGACCCCTACACGAGGACCCCTGAATGTGGTAGTGTAGACCTTCCCCTGTGGGTTTCCAAGGCGAGAAACATTTAGGGACGCCCTTGGCCTAGGCTTTTCTCTAGGGGAGGTCTGGCGGGGTAGAACCTCAGACCTTTGGTTGATAACAAGTGCTGTCACCAGTGTGCCCCCAGGTCTCCCTCTTCCGTTGGTCGTGGCCTGAATGTGGAGAAGAAGCAGGTGGCTGTGCCTGCCCGGTGGGAATTAACCATGATCTTCCCTGTTCGTCCTCATCTCAGATCCAAACGGAAAGTCCTGGGCCGCAAAGATTCGGAGGATGACCCCTCGAGAAACCATTCTCCCTCGCCGCCCGTCACGCCCACCGGTGCCGCCCCCACCCTGGCCTCCCCGAAGCAAGTGGGGTCCATTCAGAGGAGCATCCGCAAGAGCAGCACCAGCAGCGACAACTTCAAGGCTCTGCTGCTGAAGAAGGGGAGCCGATCAGACGCGAGTGCGCGCATGTCAGCGGCCGAGATGCTCAAGAGCACGGATCCTAGGTTCCACCGGTCCAGGTCGGAGTCCTCCGCAGACGCCCCCGAGAGCCCGGCCAGCTGCTCCCCGAACAAGAGCCGGCGGGCCCAGGAGGAGTGGGCGAAGCACGAAGGCCTGATGCCCCGGAGCCTGTCCTTCTCGGGCCCGCGGTACGGGCGCAGCCGTACACCGCCCTCGGCCGCCAGCAGCCGGTACAGCCTGCGCAACCGCTTCCAGAGCAGCCCCATGACGGTCATCTCGGAGGGTGAGGGCGAGGCCCCGGAGCCAGCGGACAGCAGGGCGCGCCGCACGCTGGGAGCTGCGAGGGGAGGCTCGCTGGACGGCGTGGCCCGGGGCGACGTGGCCGCGGACAGCCTGCTCAGGGACGAGGCCCCTGCCACCTCCCTGTGGGCACAGGCAGCCCCGGGGCCCCCAGACCAGAAGGCCAGCCCCCTGGACAGGGACCCACCAGCACAGCGTGCAGGCCCGCAGGCAGCGGAGAGTTAGAAGCCAGACCATTACTCTCCAGGTGGTGTAGGGGGGAGAGGAGCCATACATCCCTGCGCAGGTTTGCTCAGGTAGCCCTGGGGCTGAGCCCGGAGCCCTCAGCCCGGCTGTGGTGGGTGGCCCCAGTAGCCAGCAGGGCAGAGTAGAGATGGTGAGGTCACGCTCACTTGGCACTTGCTCTGTGGCTTAAGTAGAAGCTTAACTTCTGGAAGTGCTTCCCGGGGAAGATTTTTTTTTTTTTTTTGGTAGCTTAATGCTGGGTGTGCCTGTGTGCGTGTGTATTTTTGGCAAGTTTTTTATTTAAAACACACACACAAGCAGCATGTACAGAAATAGGGAAACGAAAGAGTTAAAGCTAGCTGGTCATTGCTTTATAATGCGGAAGCTAGCACACATTACAAGGCAAGGACAGAAAGAGGTGGTGGGTGTGCCCGTTTCAGCACAGGGCACACAGTGTACACGTGTGCTTTAGCGGTGAGGCGTGTCACGAGGTGGGGAAAGAGCTGGCTGGTTCTGGTACTGTTTTCTCGGGGTGGAGAAAGGCTGTGGTTTCCCCCCTCTTTCTCTTTGTAAAACGACAAACGTGCTAAGCGCCGGCCCCTGTGCCTGCTGTCGTGCAGCTGCATCCTGGTGACTCGTAGCCTGGTTTTTAGAGATGTAGGTGATTTTTAAAGGGTTTTTCCTCCCTGGGTAGCCGCTGAGACCTTTGGGAACTGAAATGGTTGATGGTGCGTCCCTGGGCGTGGCAGGGAGGCAGCGAGGGGCGGGCCGGAGTCCGGGGTCCTCTGCTGGAATGTGTTTCCTGCTTATGAAATAAACTTATTTTTCAAAATGAAATTGGACAACTTGCACTACAGACCTATGGGTGGGCCTTTTCCTCTGGCAACGGTTTTACAGAGTGGATCCTTCCATCTGGCCATGTCTTAGCACTTGGACTGGTTGGGTGTTGACTCATTTTAAGAGAGAGCCTTTTGGTGACACCAAAGAAAAAGTTGTTGCTGGTTTTTCCTCTCACTGCCTGCAGACCCGGGCCCTAATTTAGAAGGGTTTATCATAATCGTTACTATCGTACTCTGAAGAAAATGCTGGGTAGTAGTCGTTTGACAAACTTACAGAAACAGGCAGGACTTGGCAATGAATTAGCCCTGGTGGGAAAGGAGTTTTTAGATTTTTTTTTTAAATGTGGTTTTTTTTTGCATCATTCCGGTTGTGTGTTGTTTTTAATATTGCTTGTAGGAAGGTTTTTAGTCACTTTTTCATCTTCTTCAGCTAGAATCTCAACACTGAACATGGGTGGAAAACCTGTATTTATTTGAATGTATAATTCTTATAGTCCTCACAGCAGCCTTATTTTTCCGCACGTAATCCAGTTAACCATTGCCACTGAGACAATTCCAGATCATGACAACCCAGCGTGTGACAGAGAAAAACTCTGTTCGACAGGGTTTCCTGTGGCCGATTTTTTAGAAGTAGATCACCTAGTTGCCTCTGCGTGGACTTGAACCACCAACCTTGCCGTTAGCAGCCGAGGACCTTAACCTTTGATACCACTTGAGGGACCCCTCCTGCACTTTGATGCACTTCTCTGTTAGTTCAGCTACAGCAGAATCTGCGCCTCCTCTCTTTGCCTATGTATTCAAACTACCACTGAGTTGGATGCAACTCAAGCATCTGTCTTTTGGGTATGGAAATATTAAACGTTTAAAAGCTGGCCTCTACAGCTCCTGGTATCCTAAGGTTTATATCATTAAACTTTGAATATTTATACGTTAGAAAGTCTTCCAGGCGAAAACCGACCTAAAGAATTAAGGCAACTTCTCTGAAGAAAGACAAAATATGGTTTACATTTCCCCCACGCAGTCAGGGAGGACTACTTGATATTTAGCCCAAAGCAGAAGGGCCTCTTTTTGTACTAGGAACAAGGATATTACCTAATCAAAGTTCAAGGCAAAAAGCAAATGGTATGGCAGCTTTGGGGAATGAAATTCCATAAAACATGCTTTTTTTTTTTTTTAGAAAAAATTTACTACATTTTCAATTTGTATGAAATAAAACAATTGTGAAGTAACTCTTGGAGCTATTTCTCTTTGTGAGTCATGTAGCAGTTTCAGTCAGGAGACAAGTCTCCTTGGACAGAAGGGTTTCGTACTTAGCTGATACAAGCGGAACACCCACCAAGAGCAGAAGGTGCCTGTGGAAGGTGGGGAACCAGTGAGGAGATAACCTCAGTGCCGATGGCACCCGGAAGAGGACTAGCAGGAAGGCAAGCCGAAGCAAGACCCTGTAATGTTAACATACAATACAAATACAGTACGGACTGATGGTTCTGGTAATGCCGCATGTGGAGAACTTTTATCGGCCCAGGTGACCTCGGGAGAGATGGGTGTGCAGACTCACCCCTGGCACACAGGCTGCCCAGGGTTGTCCGTGGTTTTCTTCTGTGGGACCTCGCCTCTGTTAGCAGACGTGTAGTATTAGAGTTTAGGATTGGCGTGACACCCCTCCTGATACTCTAGACTTTTGAGAGCCAGAGTCATATACCGAAGTCCCAAGACTACATGATTTCTGCCCAATCTTTTCTAAGTGTTGGGGTAAGGAAAAAGGTGACCATTTTTGGAAACCATCTCGACAGCTATCCTCCTCCTGTGTATGGAGAATGTCTACTGGATCTTCCATGGGGCTTTCCATTCTTTGGAAATCACAATGACAGAGGAAGACAGGGAGTTAGTCAATGTTTCGATCGGGTTCACAGCCACAGATGGTGGTGGGAATTCGAGGAAGACGGGTGAAGGGCTGGGACGTGTTTTGGGCTTCCGTGTAAATCCTTGTTTCTATTGCTGAGGTCCCATTATCAGATGGGCAAGCAAGCACATTTCCTTTGGAAAGCAGTCGGGTGTTGTTGGGGGGAGAGGAGAGCCCTTCAGAAATGGTGGGCCTGATTCTTGAGGTCTTTTATTCTGTAATGAACTATTCTGTTACTTTAAGACCAACTGACCAACCGACTCCCTGCCATAGAGATTATTCTGACAGTGACCCTAAAGGACAGAGTAGAACTGCTTCCTGGGGTTTCTGAGGTGGTAAAAGCCTATGGGGACAAACTGCTGCATCTTTCTCCCACCGAGTGACTGCTGGGTTCAAACTGAAAACCTTGGGGTTAGCAGCCCGACATGCAGCCCACCAGATGGCCAGACATCGTGTATTGCTTCTATGGATGCGCTCCCTTCCATCTAGGCCCAACTGTATTCACCGGACAGTGATTCAAGTAGGCTATAATGTCCTTCGCAATGAAAAAAAGATGTTATAAACACTTCCCATGTGCTAGGTGAGAACGAGGGAGCTCAAAGATGGAGGCGGGTGCCTCAGCTACCACAAAGGGGCTTCAGACCTAATGGAACAGGCACACAGGTAATGAGCTGTCATGCAGAAGAGTCCTCCTGTCCGAGTGGATGGACAGGACGAGCACTCGTCTCCTTGGCAGGCCCGGCTGTACGCCCACGAAACATACATTCTCCTCCAGTGGAGTGTTTGAAAATGGCTTAGGGGGTACCTGGATTCATTTCCTAGGGTTGCCAAAAAGTACCGCACGTTTGGTGGCTTTATGAGAATAGATGTGTCTCAGTTCTGGAAGCAAGGCGTTTGAAACTGGGGAGAAGCTTGACTGTCCACTGGGGGATCTTCTGCCAAACCATCCCTCGGTTTGCAGTTACCACCGATCTGTCTCCCTTCTTTCTCTGCCTGTGTCTCTCATAAGGACATCACTCGTTGGGAGCACTGGTGGCAAAGGGGGCTTTAGCACTGAGCTGCTAATAAAAAGGTTGGCAGTTCAAACCCACTAGCTGCTCCCTGGGAGAAAGATGAGGCTATCTGTTCCTGTGAAGATTCAATCTAAGAAACCCTGAGGTCCAGTTCTAGTTTTCCCTGAAGAATCGTTCTAAGTGGACTTAGAGCCATGGCCAAGGCTCAATGGGTTGAGTTGGATTAGGACCCAACATGCCCCGTATGACCTTGTGTTAACCGACAACCCATCTAGTGGAGTCGGTGACTTCCCAAGTAGGTACTGGGGGTAAGACTTTAGCATCTTTTGTGGGGGACACAGCTGAATCTGTCACTGAGCGGAACAAAATAACGCATCTCACATCGCACTGTGTTGTTAAGGGGGCCATGACTCTTTTCAGCTAAACAAAACTGAGGTATCAGTCTGAATTTCCAGGATCCTTACATGGACACCATCTGCTTGTGGCTTCTTTCATCCTAGATGTACGGGAGGCTGAACAAGGAACCACCGCCTGGATGTGTTTGGGGCATCAGTGAGACCAGAAGCCAGAGGAGCGGAGTCCATCAGTAACATGGAGAGTCCCTACTCATGGACTGTCTACCGCCACATCCAGTGGGTGAAGCATTTCCCACTCTCTGCGGCTGTGGGACAATGACTCCTCAGAGAAGGAGGCCTTCCATTGCGTCTGACTGGGAGACAGCAACTGCGGGGTAGCTGAGTTACAGATTTCACAAGCTGAGAAATGTGCCACAGGGAAGGCATCCCAAGGGGGATGACAAGCGCAAGGGCAGAGCAAGTATTTAGAGGCAGCAAAGTACCTAAAAGGAGCCCTGGGGAACGCCATGGTTACACATTGGGCTGCTAACCACAAGGTCAGCAGTTCAAAACCACCAGTGGATCTGTGGGAGAAAGATGAGGCTTTCTACTCTCCTAAAGAATTACAGTCTCAGAAACTCACAGGGACAGTTCTACTCTGTCCGATAGGGTCACTATGAGTCGGAATTAATGACAGTGACTTCAGTTTTTTGGAAATACCTAAAATACCTGGCTTAATTTGGCTTGCCAAGATAGCTATTATTTTCAAATCCCGTGCTTGGCCTCCAGCTTCCGGGTGCCTAGTGCGTGAGCGGAGTGCTTCTTGCCGAGATCACCAAAGAGATGGATTCTCCTATTTGGTTCTAAACAGTTCCTTGACCCCAAGTTTTCATTATCTACTTGCGGGCCACCAAGGCAACTGCTCGGTTCCTTCTGTGCACTGTGACGCACGCCTCTTACGTGTGAAACACCGGATCATCCCCCAACCATTGCCAGGCCATTCTTTTTTAAAAAGTCATTTTATTGGGGGCTCGTACAACCCTTATCACACTCCCTACATACATCCATGGTGTGAAGCACATTTGTGGCCATCATCATTCTCAAAACATTTGCTTTCTGCCTGAGCCCTTCATATCAGCTCCTTTGCCTTCCATTCCCGCTCCCCCTTCCCTCATGAATCTTTGATAATTTATAAATTGTTTTGTCATATCTTGCCCACTCCCTTCACCCACTTTTCTGTTGTTTGTCCATCCCCCAAGGAGGGGGTTAGATGTAGATCCTTATAATCGGTTCCCTCTTTCCACCCCACCCTCCCGGCATCGCTACTCTCAGCCCTGGTCCTGAGGAGTTCATCTGTCCTGGATTCCCTGGGTTTCCAGTTCCTATCAGTGCCAGTGTACATCCTCCGATCTAGCCGGATTTGTGAGGTAGAAGTGGGATCATGATAGCTCAGCTCTTCATCCCTGGGCAGCCTCCTTGAGTACCTCCCGTGGGAGCCTCCTCAGCAGCCAGGTAGTGAGCGACCCTGCCTCGTTGCAACCCGTGTTCTGACCACTCTGCTGCCAACGGTGCCAGTTTGATAGGGAGCTAGGAGCTGAAGAGTTAAAAAAAATGTTATGAGTGTTGTGACCGCAGGGCTAGGTAGGGGAGTTCTCAGATTGTCATCTGTTTACATCTCTGGCAGCCCACTGGGAGCTCTGGAACAGAGTGGTACTACAAGGGTCCCAAGTTGGGCAGAAACGGCGAGGTCCTTGTATGAGCACTCTGTTCGGTCATGGGCGAGGCACCCACCGGGAACAGCGTGCCTTCTCTCTCCGTCTGAGGTGAGCTCTGAGAAAGGCACAGCGGAGTCTGGTGGTGAATCGCACCCCCGCCAGCTGTGTGCTCAGTACTGTTCTCCAAGGTGAACCAGAGTGGCTCAGCTCCATGGGGTTGTCTGCCACATCTTCAGATTCCGGAAACGCCCGCACTTGCACCACAGCTAACAAGCAACTACCCAAACCAATTGTCATGGGTTGAATGATGTCTCTCCCCACTCCCCAAGTACGTGTCCATGTGGCTGGGCCGTGAGTCTCAATGAGATGGACTGACAATGAGGAGGCTGGCCCAGGACTGGGCAGCGTTTCCTTCTGTTGTGCATAAGGTCACTAGGGGTTGTGACCAAATCAGTAGCACCTAACATCAACAGCAGCATGATTGGTGGTGGTTTGACAGCGAGGTGACGATTGGCCACGCTCCATGATGCGGTCCCGATAGGATTGGCCAGTCCGTTGTAAGGGGATTTGAGTGGGATGCAACAGCTTTCACTGGGCACAGCCCTGATCTGATAATACAGAGCCTTTTCCTGAGGTGTGAGAGGAGAGAAGTGAGAGAAAGGGGACCTCAGGGCCACCAAGAAAGAGGTGTGAACAGTGTATCCTTTTTACCCAGCGTTTCGGTGTAAGCCTCTTAGACCCAGGGGAACGCCGAAGCCAGTACACGCGGAGCTCGGTAAGGAACACAGGGTTCACAGAGACACACAGACCTCCCCTCTGGGCTGACAGAGTAAGGAAAGCCTTTTCAAAGAGCTGCTGCCCAGAGTTCAGACTTCTAGCCTCCTACACTGGAGAGAATGGTTTGTTTGGTAAAGCCATCCTCTGGCGGTATATCTGCTATAGAAGCACCAATCCATGATCCCTGCGCGTCAGTCCCCTCACTTCTCCACCAGCCTCTAAGTCATGCCAGTGAGCCTCACCTCCACTCTGCTGAGCATGTGTCCACCAGGAACGTTCCGGCAACCTCAAACTGGTGTTCTCAACCTCCCTAATGCTGTGACCCTTCAGTACAGCTCCTCATGTTGTGATGACCCCCCCCCCAAAACCATAAAATTATTTTCGTTGCTACTTCATAATTGTAATTTTGCTGTTATGAATCGGGTGACCCTTGTGAAAGGGTCGGTCGTTCAACCCCCAAAGGGGTCACGACCCCCAGGTTGAGAACCATTGCCCTAGCCTATCGCCCCATGTCCGTTCTTGATAGCCCTTAACAATAATTCCATTCCATTTGTGAACTCTCTAGAAAGGCTGCTCTATGGACACAGGGACCTGATGTATTCTCAGCAGAAACATGGAACACGAAGAAGCCTGAGTGGCAGGGTGGGGTTTGGGGACGAGGAGTTCACTGAGGGGGTCTGCAGGATCATGCTTGCTGCTACTACATCCCAGCCCCACTCCTGTCCCTGGAATCTAGTGGCAACTCCCTCGTGACTTAATGAAAAGGAATGACAGTTCAGTGGCTTGTTAGACGGGAACACAAGATTTTTAGGGGGTTCAATGTCACCTGAGGGTAATGATGGTTTAGTAGTAGAATTCCCACTGACCTTTGTATATCATGTACCATCAGCACACACCTGCCCGCAGATGCTGTGTGCTGCTTATGATGTAGAACAGGCTTCAGTGGAGCTTCCAAGTTAAGACAGTAGGAGGAAAGACCTGAGTCTTGACTTCTGGAAATTCAGCCCATGCAAATCCCCTGGGTCACAATGGTTTGATCAGTTGTATGTGGCGTAGCCGACCGGCCCAGCAAGGTGGTGATGAGAGAGGAGTGGAGCAGGCCCAGGGCTGAGATGAACTGCTTTCAGACTTCTCAAACAACGGCATACACGATCTTTTGGAAACCAGCAGGCGCCTATGTGAATGGTTCTCTGGGAAGTCCAGTGGTAGGCGGAGGCTGTTCATTTTACTTCTCGCTCGTGGTTCCTGAGCTACCCCCACACAACAGAGGGGGCGATGGGAAAACTCCAGAGAAACGTGTTCGTCAAGGTAAGAGTGATGGGAAGTATTATCCTACAGGAGGGCCTTGGGGGGGCGGAGGTTGGGGGGAAGAGGGGAGCAGGTGGAGGGCAAAGACGGTGCCAGGAAGAGCTGACAGAAACTAGACAGACGAACCGGAGCATGGACCAAGGGTGAGCCCGCAGATGAGCGGAAAGGAGTTACCGGCTGGAGCAACACTGAGAACAAGGAGCGTATCAGAGCATCCGGTTTAAGTTTAGCATTAAAAGCACATCTGGACATGCATTTCTTGTGGAGAAGAAAATTCTTAAATGTGCAAATAGGGTATTTTCTGATCAATGTTCTGTACTTAATTAAAATAATTGACTCATTGTCATGAGAAATACCATTGGGCTGATCGATTTAGGGCTGGAAAAACCCTCTAAACTTGAGTTTGTAATTTCAGGAAGAAGAGGGGGAAAGGAGACCCTGAGGTGAATCAGACAATCCACGTTTTAACTGAGCACGTTTGAGAAAGCGCCAGCATAGCCAGCCCCTCTACTGGTCCCTCCCTCGGGGAGGTATTTTCCTACATTCTGGCTATGTCAATTTTATTATTATTTTAATATGTCACTGTACAGAAAAGCTAGCATAGTGTATTTACAAAAATGCACGGAAGTCGGGAGGCGTGAGGCTTGGCCACTCCTGCAGGGTTGGTCACCAAATACAGAAGGCTCATTTTGTGTGCAAACAAATGCGGTCCAACAGACTCTTAGTCATCAAACATGGGCTATCATTAAAAGTTGAACTTACTGCATTAGAGACACTTATTTTATATAGGAACATGAATGGTAAGTGGAAGTTAGTGGTGTGGTGGATCTTCCATCAGTAGGCGGGCTGGAAAGTGTTCTTTAATTAATGATGTTAAATTTGCATAAAGTAAATGTCATTTGGGGGGACACGCATACAAGTGAAAGGAATCAATAAGTGCATTAATTCACACGTGTGATATCTTTGGAGAATAGTTACCTGAATTAGAAAACATTACAGACCGAATCAGAAGTCCAGCTTGTTTGGTACCAAGATTACAGCCTAGAAGGTAACGATGGGGTCACAACCGTGTGACTTTGAATTCAGGAAGACCGTCACCACGTAGTCCCTGCCCGCTGAGCCTGGAATCAAGACTGCCTGGATACCAACTAGCCTGGCCCTTACAGATAGCTCCCTGACCTCTCTGTGGC